CTTTCGGTAGGATTTGAATGTCGTGTTTTTTTCTTTGCTACAAAAATTTTTTAGGTTTTTCACAGGTGTTATGTCTGTTAAGGAAAAAACAACCCCACTCAAATACGCCATGTGCTTGGCGAAATGCTACTGTCGTATTTCTGTTTTTTATAATTTGAAAAAAAGAATTTATTAACTTTGGCGACTTTTCTAAGCAAAAAAGCCAGCTGATATTTCGTTCTTTTTCTTTTTTTTTGTCATTCGAGCTATCTGCTGAAGGGGTGGCGCACATATATAGAAAAGCGGTTTGTACTAATTGATGATGTGAAGCACAACATTGAAGAACCTGATATATCCACCGTACTGGAGCATCTCAGTAACATCACTAACAAGGGATACTCACATTTAATGTCTTGGTATTAATGGAACCAATTTTCGCAGCGGCACAGTCTAATGGGTCTCAACAAATACTGGCGCCCCTAAATTTTGCACTTTTTCCAAATGAATGATTACGAACGCACTCATACAGCTGCATCTTGGCCAATTTCAGTTCGGATTAAGCGCTTTTTCTCGGTGCGTTTTTCGTTTTATCGCTTCACTAAAGGACTACCGGCTATTAATTCTTTGGTTTTCTATTACCTTTTTCTTTAGCTCAACCACTGATCGATGATTTCTTCTGAGAATAAAACCATGGCTCTTTGGTTGAACTAAAATGAAAAAGAAAAACAGGAACCAAAGCAAAAACACCCAGTTGTCCTTCTTTCGGGGGATGAGAGGCACATTAGGATTTCCAGCAGATGATACAGCATTGGTTAAAGCAACTGGAAAAGCTGTCAGCTGAAGAAGCAATCTATGAATCGCAATTGACCCAAGTATAATTTTGACACACATTTATAGTTCTTCATTGGAATGCAAGATGAACATACTGCGAATTTTTCATTGAATTTGTCAAGAAGCGATTACAATTTCTTTTCTTACCACCACCAACTTTGCGTGAATAAACCTGACAAATCCGTCAAACTAACTAATGCAGACAAGTTTTTGCTGAAAATTTGAAGTGTCTGCGTGCTGCCCGTACGACAAATGTCTCTATTGTATGTGTACCTCATTTTCTGCCCTCGCAAACACCCTTACCTTCGCCTCCATCCATAGCTTTTCTCCTCGCAGTTCTTTTGAATTTTAACTTGATTCATTCATTTGTCCTTGGGCTGTGCCGACTGTGTACATGCATCCTTGTCGACGAGTTATTTTTTGCGGCTTCCCTGAGCTACGTTTGTAAAATTTTTCTAATTTTTATGAGTTTTTTTTTGCATAATATGCAAATGCGAAAACGCATCTAAGGGTAGTGTTTTTTTGTGGTATAAAACCTCAGATGATCAGTAAATTATCCTCATAGCATATAATCCCTCATTCCAGCAAGAAAGTGCTTAAGACCACAAGTGATACGTAAACCCCGCATTTTGCATTTAAGATTGAGTGACTCCACTTCGTTCATGACATCCTAGCTTCTTCACTGCACGTAGTCAAAAAGACTAGTATTTTTTGATATCCTCGTTCAATCTCCGCTGTCCCTCTTTTTCCTCCTCCTCAATTCCCTTTTGCAGTCACTTGTCATCGAACTTTTGTCATTATGACTAAGACTTTGATGTTAGCGTTCTCTGAGTTCTCTGAGTAACAGAATCTTACTTTTTTGTCACTTTTACTGAGCAATTGAAACGCTTTTCACCGAACTAACTTTTAAGTGACGGCGGTTTGGATGAAGCGCAGAGGAGTTTGGCTGATGTAAGAGCGGTTGGATCTTCTTCCACCTTATCATCCACTCCGGATCACTGAAGTTTTGCATGCTCTTGGCTTCGTATACCAATCGGGGTACACAGGAGATAGAAGTTGGCTCAAGTTCGCAGTCCTGCATAATGCCCCCTTCCCCTGTCCCCATAAAGTTGCGAATTTTTAGCAACAGAAGTTTCTGAGTCATAATTCAATCCTGAATTGCCATCAAAAACGCATAAAACATGTAATTTTGGCTTGACATCATCGAATTGGTGACTTCTGTTTACGTCATTTCTATGAATTTTGCAAAAAACTATGATTTATGTTTGTTTTTTTTTTTGCTCTTTTCGCTGGATTATTTTCCTGTCGCACCGTTTGTTATGACTGTGTGTGACA